GGAGTGCCCCCGGGTGCCGGCCTCTGTCTCTCTCATGGAAGAGATACCATTTAGGGCCAGCCCACGGCATGTGGCTGGATCCCATGTGCCAACTGCATGGTTCAAGTCCCTGACCCGCAGCTCGGAGAACATGTTGGGCGTGTGTGCGTGCGTGCCCCCAAACCAAGAGGAGAGTGGGGGAGCGGACTGAGCTGTGGCCTCCCAGCCCCGCAGCCTTGCTCTGTGGATCCAGCTGGGCCCTCCTCCCTCGGCCCGCCTGCCCTGTGCTCTCACCATGGTTTTCTTGTCAGCTTTCTGGACGAAGTACCCGGTGACCTCACTGTTGCCATCATCTTTGGGGGGCTGCCACTCCACCAGGGCGTTGGTGCCCCACACCTCCTTCACCATCACGTTCTGGGGCGGCCCGGCCTTCTCTGGAAGGCAGAGTGAGGCGGGGTCACAGCAGCCCAGGAAACCGTCCCCCAAGTCTGTCCCCCACCCCCCTCCGATCCTCCGTCCTCCCAGCCCTCGGGCGCACCCACGACCCGGATGCGGATGGTGGCCGTGTCCTTCATGTTCTCGATCTGCACGCTGAGCTCGTACTCGCCCGAGTCGGAGCGGGCCGCCTGGCGCACGAAGAACACGGTGTCGAAGTCGCTGGTCCGCACGTGCACGCGGGACGTGTCCACCGGGGCGCCGCCCTTCGTCCACACCACCTGGGGCCGCGGCTTTCCCTGGGGGAGAGGACCAGGTGAGGTGGGCCGGCCGCGGGCACAGGGGTCACAGGGGTCACCGCTGGCCCGGCCTACCTGGAAGGGGATGACCAGGTTGAGCGCCTCGCCCACTTTGCGGATGTAGGTCTGGCGCAGGTGGCGGGGGAGGCGGATCTTGGGCTGCTCTGAGGGCAGACGTGGGTGTGGTCAGCAGGACGCCTGGCCCCCGCACCACCTGGTCTTGACCAGGGCAGGGTCGGGTCACTCACCCACAATCTCCCGGATGGTGACCGGCTGGGCCAGGGTGGCCGGCTGGCTGCGCCCGGCGATGTTGACCCCGACCACCCGGAAAAGGATCCGCGCTCCTGTCGGGAGATCCTTGACCGTGAAGCCACAGCGCTCCACCGGCTGGGTGTTGGCGGGGCTCCACCCCTCGGCCGCCGAGGGGGCGGGAGGGGG